TAATCTCGGCTGGGAAAAAATTAGCAGTAAAATGGTAGCTATTTTAATTTTCTAAACAGGAATTTCTTCACTAAATTTTTTAATGTGAACATCTTCTATTTTATGTATTTATTAAATTTATACACCAGTCCTCTCACTCTGTACAGCGACTCTGGGCAGCTAGTAATACTCATTACAGTGATGCAGTATGGTAAACTGCTTCTATTCTATTGCCAAGAATACAACGAGGATGTGTCCATATGGTGACCAGGCTTAAACATGACTCAGAGGACTTATTTAGCTGTAATGTAGCCTTCTTGCAAGTATTAACCTCAGTTTCCCTAAGGAGAACTGCTTGTCCTGAGTATCTGCGCAATTCCTATATAAATAATAGAGCAAAAACAAAACTGATGCTTATCTATCTAGAGTAATCTTCTTTAGTTACAATTTCCTAGAATGCAAGATTGATATCAAAACTGCAGGTCTTTGAATGCAGTTTTGCAGATCCAAACATGGGTGCATAGACATCATGCTTGTTAAGCCAAATCCCTCTTCATTGTTTTATGGCTTGCCAAGCATCATCACAGCCACAATGCTTTCAGTATGGACTGTAACCCATAAGATAGCAAACTCCTGTACTGTCACGGATAAAATCAAAATAAAACAAATTGATCATAAATACTACAGTAAGCTAGATATTGAGTAATTTGCAATCTTGGCTTTGTTGCTATTTCCTATAGCTATTTTACTCTAAGTTATTTTTAAAAGTTTTTGATCTCTAACTCAAGTGTAAAAACAAGAGTTGGATTTGATTTTTTAAAAATGTACTATATATAGTATAATTACTATACTATATCCCCACCCAAAATTATATACACCATCCAAACTGAGACTCTAGGGAGATTATAGAACATTACAAAATGTAAATAATATTACTCAAAACCCTGAGAAGATGGACCCCAATGACAATCAGGGCAATATGATGCTATGTGTGTTTTGTACTCAATTGCCCTTTTAGAGTTGCATAAACAAGGATTTATGATTAAGAGGCAAGAAGGTGAATCAGTGTACTAGCTCTAATAAAAGTTAGCATTTGCAAGAACAAGCAATAGCAAATTTTCAAATATATTCCCTACCCTGATATAAATGCAAGGCATGTGTTGTTTTATTGGTTATTCATTGAAACCACTTCATAAACTTAGTTTCATTTCATAGCTGCCAATATTTGGTTGCAATCACAGTTAGTCATAGTTATTCACACCTCTGTCCACCAGCTGCCAGCCCATTAACCTTATATTTTAAATAAAAAACACAATGCAAAGCAAAGCACCAGCAGCATTATTTTTATTTCCAGGAATGCTACCATGCTTCAAATGGATACAAAATGCCTTCTTAGAAAATAAATAGATTGATGAAGAAAAATTAGCTTTGTTGCTTTGGTTGGAAATATGACACTGTCCAGAAAGTACACAAAGGGTAACAAAGGTAGTATGGAGTAGAGATGGAAGTAATGGTAAGAGTCATTTTGGTAAATTGGGTATATCCTTCACAGCAGTTATTCTGAAACTTATCAAAGTTTCATAGCACTTGTTTTGTAAGAGCACCCACCAAATTCCCCAAATTCCAGAAGTGCTCAATAGCTGAAAAAGATTGGGGATTCCTAGACTACAGTAAATTGTTAAGTAACAAAACCTATTTCATCTGTTTAAGGTAAGCAGTTCTATCATGTACAATTTCACAAGACAGCTTTTGTCACTCTGGTGCCCTCAAAATGTGTTGAGTTACAATTTCTTCTACCAGCAGCTGCGAATTATGAGATGCTTGATCCAATACACTTAGAAGCCAGTACATTGGATATTTAAAAGCATAAGTACAGATACAAATTTAATAAGATGACTTACCATCATTTTGGGCTTTGTTTTTCATTTCTTCCTTCCATGTTGGAATATCTTTCAAGAGTACATAATCCCGTGAATATTCCTTACGTCTCTCTTCCAATGTCATCTTCAGTAAACGTTCTATCGGAAAGCACATGAATATGTTTTAGCAAAATTATGAAACAGATTCCTTTGTAACATGAATTAGTTATGGGGTTCTAATATAAGTATATGAGGAATGTATGTAGACTAAGATCAGATATCAAGGAGGTTCAATTAATTTCTTTACTCATCCTAATTACTGAGGCTTGGAGTGAACCAACACTTCAACAAAATGTGATTTCAGATGCTCAATAAGTTGTGCTAAACAAGTCTAAGTACTTACAGCCTAAATCCAACAAAGGCAGTTTAGGGATGAGGGCAACATTTAGTTGTTAAGATTGCATTTATTCTGTTTTTATATTCTGTTTGCTATTTTATACTTCAGTTGGTAGGCCACTGTTTGAATTTAGCAGATTGAATTAGTTTATATGTTACTCTTCTACAGCAGATATTAACTCAATTTTAAATTATATAAATGATTCTGAGCCCATTTAAACATGATTTAGCACAGATTTCAGTAATCTTCACTTCTCGCTTGCAATGCTACCAAGAGATAATTCTTGATATTATGGTTAACAAATCCCACAATCTATTATATTGTTACAACTTGAAACAGTTTTTGAAATTACCTTGTAATTTAGAACTTTTCTTCCATTGGCATTAGGCATTTAAATATTTGCTTAAGAAATAGCATACAGTACATACATTAGTAACTCCCATCACTGTATCAAAGTGATTAAATATATGTGTAGCACTTATGGAATTGATAAAATACAAAAACTAATTTGAGTCATCAGCGACATTCATCTACCTGGAAGTAGCCATGGAAGCATGAATACTGTGTATCTGTATAGGCAATCCCATTTCTAGCACTAATAAACTGTTTATTAAAGCAATCCTAAAAGAAGCTCTTGCATTCACGATTAGATTTTCTTCAAGGCTGCTAGATAAATTTATCACACTAGAAACATATAAAATACAAAAACTGTTGTGGCTTGAAAGAGATTGTTTAATCTGAAAAGATTTATTTAATGCAAGTAACTAGTAATAATTAGTAATTTGGATAATACTTTATGTATGCACATTTCAATTTAATCTATCATTATAAACATTCTTATCTAGAGTTTAATGTATACACTTTTATATTCTTGCCTCTTGTAACAATGTTTAGACATCAACCAAATTTTTACTAAGTGATACATTTCACACAGCATTCCTTAGGATTATTATGTGGAAAAAATTATTTCCCTTCCACCTCAGCAAATTATTGAAAATACACTTCTCTGTGATGAAGTTAGAGGTTTCAACTTTAGCAGTACAGAATGTGTTTTAAAAGAAACTGAAGCAGTTTTAACAGCACCAATGACAAACTACAAAAGGATTTCTTTTTTACATTTCAGAGTGCAAGGATCCAGTTTCTGTTAGAAGTAATCCAAACAGAAATCCATATTACAGTTTAATCAATATAAATTCTGTAAAGCTGTTATACCAGTTTACATTACACAGTTCAAACAGCCTAATATAAATCTACAGGTAAAGCCATGATAAATCGTCAATCCAGAACAGATAAATACTGTTTGTAAAACATGTCAATAGTTGGGGGTTTTTTTCTCTTTATGGATAGATGGACATTTGAACTTTATATATCAATCATTTTATTCTTCCTGGCATTTGATATTACTGTATATATGCAGCATAAGAATTTGCAATGTAGATTTCATGTCAAACTCACACCAAAACTTACAAACCCAGTTTGGGTTTTTATCATTAGTACAAGAGTTTAAAATACAATAAGTCAAAATTCTGTCTTTTTGAATGAACACAATTACATTGTATCAAATTTAATTGTTATTTAATTCCCTACATGGTCTCAGTTTTATGATGTTCTATTAAATTACCAACTGTAAAAGTCCAATTTCCTTATCTAAAATTTAAAGCTACGTTCCATACTATGGAAAGAAACTTTCACTTGCAAAGTACAAGTATCCTTTATTTTCCTCCCTATTCCCTATCTGCAAAAACAGATTTGATGGGCAGGTTGGGTGGGGGGAAATGGATTTACAAGGAGTAGCTCTATGATTGACAAATGGTCCCAGATGAATATATATCAGCAAATGTATCAACATTTTATTTGTATGTCAAATTTAGAGACTGTCCATCTCACAGAGTGACTCCAGCTTAATGAAAAATGTTTGTTAAATATTTTATTTTAAAAAGATAATTACCACCTCACCATTAGAAGGTCTGGTATTTTATCAAGTAAAGCAATCCATCCTCACAACTTTAGGATGCCTGGGTAAAGTTGATTCAATAGATGTTTTCAACAACTGTCACACAATACACAAACAATGGTTATGTTTGTTTGTTTGTTTGCAAACATTTTCTTCCAAAGGGCCCAAAGATCCAGGCTTTCCAGTCCTGTCACCTTTTTGCAACCCCCTCACAATAGGTAGCCCCAGTGTGAGGCAAGTTGAAATTCATTCAGCCAGCAACTATAAAAAAAGACTGTAGTTTCCATTCCAAGTATTTTGAAACAGAAAGAATCATAGGCAGCAGAGAAACCTCACTTTCAGTTCCAAAGTGGCACTCCAATTCTCACACCAAACTCCAAGATAATGTCAGCACACAATTTGCAACCAGAACTCAGTGAAAGTAGATTCCAAGTTTTATAAGCTTTGCTTGCTCTCTGTTATGCATAGGGGAATAAGAGAAACAACAGTAATGACCCAGCAGAAAATAACTTTTACAGAGGGATAATCCGTACCCAAGAAAGAAACAAAACATTAAGCAGGCAGTGAGACGAACTAAGAGGAAGATTACCAACTCTGAAATAGAACGGACTTAACCAAAACTAGGCAAAAAGGAAGGCAATCACCACCACTGTTTCTTTGATCAGCTCCTATCAGGGGACATCCTGGATGCCGTCTAGGTAAGGCTGACCCAAGAACCCTCACCAAGGTCGAAGCACCTGAGTGGCAAAGAGAGGCCTGGGCCCTTCAGGATTACCCGAAGCTGCCCTTGCCTCTATCTTGGGGTGCCCTGACCAGGCTGCTGCGAGGGCTGTGCAGAGAAGGCGCCGTCTCACCACCCACCTACTCCCTCACTGAAGGCGGACTCCGGGTCCGGAGAAGGAAGGGAGCCCTCCTCCAGCGGAGAGTAGGAAGCGCCAGCTAAGTCAGGAGGAGAAGCGATGCAAGCAAGGGGAGGAGCGCGGCTGTCCTGTCAAGGTAACACGGCGAAGGCGAGAGGAAGGCAACGTCGCTCAGGTGAGAACAGGCGGCGGCATCTTTTGCCCGCACGCCTCGCGAAAGGAAACCAGAGTCGGAGAGGCGGCGCTGGGGACGCCCTGCAACGCTCCGCTCGCCCGAGGAGCCCCGGGCGCTTTTTAGGTGAAGGAGGTCAGTACCTTTCTCCTCCCGCCAGAGCTTTTTCCGCTTGTTCCCGGGGTACATGGTGCTGTGGCTAGCGGCGGCTTTGAGCTGCAGGTTCCCCAGGCTAACGGGCGAGGAAGAAGCACGCTGACCCGGCTGGGCGACGGCACCGATGGGGTGGCGAGGGTGGCGTTGGCGGCGGCGGCGGCAGCAGCTGTTTGCACCTCTGCCTCCTTCCCACTCCCCTCTCCTTTCAGCGCGCGTCAACTGGGTCACGCCTCGTTCTAACCCGACAGACACCCCCGCAATGCCCGCCTCCTTGCCCGCCGCCCGTTGGCCTGGCGAGACGCCGTTCAGCGACGCGCCCCGCCCCCTGCGCTCTCGGGCTAACGGCGGCTGGGAGGGGGAGGCTTTTTTTAAAGGGGCAGGCGCGTCAAATCGAGGAGGAAGCGCGCGCTCGGGCGGACAGAAGCTCGGCGCTCGGGACTTGAACACAAAGAAAACAAAAACGGCGCTAGCGGCGACGGCGGAAGCTCGCGCCCGGGTTTGTGGAGAAGAAACGGCGCGTTTCTTGAGGGCTTTTGTCACCTTGAGGTGCCTCGTGGGTGGCAGCCGTCTCCTTTTGCTCCGGTGTGAGTTTCAGCTGTGTTCAGTACCGCTTGCTCTAAACCGGCGTGTGCCTGCAATTAATGGGAGGAAGGCGACAGACCCACAGAATGCTGTGGGATTTTCCTCCGTGCTAAACTGCTTGGGTTGCATTTTCGTGGCAGTTTATCTGGGAGTAAGCCTCACTGATGAATCGAGCTTCTTTCTGAGTGGGTATAGGGGTGGTTCTGTAACTTCTGAATAAATGTGGTTTGTGCTTTGCAGTATTTTTATCGCCTGCACACAGCGTTTTAAGAAAGTTCTTCCTCGTTTACATGCATAAAACCTTGCCATTAAGCTAAGCATAAGAACATTAAGCATTGCAATAATGCCACTGGCAATAGCATTCATAAGTAAAATAATGGGTGCAACTCATTTGGACTAAAGCAGTGTTTGCTGTTTTGGTACAGCCTTCTCCTAACCCTCCAAATATAGTGAACGTATGATCAAACACAAAGTAATGCAAAATGTTGTGTTTTGAATCTTAAGCCAGGCCCTTTTAGAAATTTACCAACAATCTTGCTTTGCCAAGTTGTTCAGCTTTGTAGCTTTAGCACATTTGGCCACACACTGAAGATTCTGCCCTCTTCTGCTAAGCTGGCTTTCATGAATCTTTTACAGATAGTGCTCAACTTACAACACTTCGGTCAGTGACTATTCAAAGTTACAATGGCACTGAAGACTGGAGGCTAGAACATATAAAGAACGGTTGCGGGAATTGGGTATGTCTAATTTAATGAAGAGAAGGACTAGGGGTAACATAATAGCCGTGTTCCAATATCTCAGAGGTTGCCACAAAAAAGAGCCCAAGCTATTCTCCAAAGCACCTGAAGGCAGGACAAGAAGCAGTGGATGGAAACTAATCAAGGAGAGAAGCAACCTTGAAGTAAGGAGAAATTTCCTGACAGTCAGGACAAATAATCTGTGGAACAACCTGACTCCAGAAGTTATGAATGCTTCAACAGTGGAAGTTTTTAAGACGAGACTGGACAACCATTTGTTTGAAATGATATAGGCCAGGTTTCCTGCCTCAGCAGGGGATTGGACTAGAAGACCTCCAAGGTCCCTTCCAACTCGTGTTATTCTGTTGAAAAAAAGTGATTTATGATACTTTTCCTGAAAAGAAATGAAAGAAATACTAACATTAACTTGAACAAATGACTCAGGAGTAGAAATCTATATGAATGTTGGATTTAAATGATATTTGATTGTTCAAGTTAATTTTCTGCAGTTGTGTCCATGGATATTTTATATAGGCAACCTGTGATACTCCATATATTGTTGAGATTTAGTATTAAGTAGTGCAAGGAAATATTCTCAAAAAGAAAAGACACCAGAGCTTGTACTTTAGCTACCTCCTTGGTGCCACAGATTGCCAAGTGAAGAATGACTGAGGTAGTAAATAAATATTGGTTATCATGAAATAGGCAGCCTGCATAACTACGGATAAAAAATAAATTTTCTGAAAGGTTCATAGATTTTTTTTAAAAAATCCCTAAAACCCCCCCCCTCCAAAAGTGATTATAGACTTCGAGGCAATGTTACTGAGCTAAACATTTATAATTTATCTCATTTTTTGCTGTGTAAAACATTCTATAAGTATAGTATCGACTTGTTCAAAGAACCAAAATTAGATATTTCTGTAACGTATGATTTATTCAGAAAGCTATCAGTTGAACACTGACAGCACTCCAAGGCAGGAGAAGCAAAGGATAAATGAGGTAGCAAGCTAGAAAGCAGGAAAGTGTGAGTTCAAATCCTGACTTAGCCATCAAAGTCAGCTGGGTGACTTTGGGCCAGTCACCCTCTCTCAGCCCAACCCACCTCGCAGGATTTTTGTGGGGAAAAGAGGAGGAGGAATGTGTATTGGACACATTCTCTGCCTTGAGTTATTTGTAAAAATAATAAAAGGCAGGATACAAATGAATAAATTACATTAGGATCTATAGAAGATACCTGGGCTGATTTGCAGTAGATCTGACTCCATATATTTTAGCAGCAGCAGGGAAAAAAAGAAACCCTCTCCCTAAATTAGACTGTTAAAATCAAGAAGCAAGGGACATGGGGGATATGCAGCAAAAGGAATATTTACATATATTCCAATTCTTATACACAAATTAACTCTTCAACTGACTGGCTTTTCCATATATGTTTCTCTGTTTTCCTAATAATATACTTATTGAGCTGCAAAGTGCCCAAATCACACTGAATTTAAATATGTTCATTTATTCTATTTGAACACTGCCCAGCTTCATACCAGTTCTGAATAGCTCACATACATTATATTATCTTAAATAAACTATATTTAACAAATGTCTGGGAATCAATTCAATTTCTATACTCAGTGAAACTTATTCTCAGGTAAAGTTTTAGAATGTTCTAGAATCCATGTTGTGCTTCAGGAAATTCATGTGATCTAACCTGGTAGAAAGGTGGCAGAGCTAAGAATTCTGAACACAGAAAATCATCTTGAGCAGGCATGTCAAACTCGCAACATCATGTGACATCGTGTGACATATTGTGACTTTTTCCCCATTGCCGGCAATGGGGTGGGCATGGTTTTGGCGTGATGCATCCGGATTGCAGGGCCGGCAGTTTCACATGCCTGATCTTGAGTAACTGAGTAGATCTCACAGTTATAATTCTTTAATGTAAAAATCCAACTTAATACAGACCAAACAGTTTAGTTTCTGCAGTTTATAGCCAGTTTGGTCCAGTGATTAAGGCACCAGACTAGAAACCAGGAGACCGTGAATTCTAGTCTTACGTAAGGCATGAAGGCCAACTCACTTCCTAGGATTGTTCTTGTGAGAGAAATAGAAGGAGGAAGGATTATTAGGTGTGTTCAGCATTTAAAAGATAATAAAGATGGAATAAAAATTAAACTAATAGACATTTGAAACATTTTGTCACTATTAGAAACAAGAGACAGGAATCCTTGCTGATTTACAACAAATTGTAGTAAATCAAAATAGATTCAGATGTATCTTCGGGCAATGCCTAAAACAAATGATCACTTTTCAGTTGCCCCTTCTTTTACATTGCTTTTCTGTATTAAATCTTCCAGGGTAGTATACATATCATATTGCTGTTCCCTCTTAATACATTTAAGGAAATATATTTACTATTGGAAAAAGAAGATGGAAGGATGAAAAGTCATTACAAATAGAAGAAACTATTGTTTAACACACATACACCCAAGATATTCACAAGTGATAAGAGTAATTGCACAATATATTTCTCATACTTAGAATCCCAGATATATGAACTAGCATAACCAAACCAATGTCATAGTGCTTAATAGATTAGCTTTGAAAAAAATAATGGAAGAATGGTTGAGACAATATTTTACCAAATCCTCAGTTATGTTTTTTTTGCCATGAAAAATCCTTTAAGAAGGCAACAGTAAAATGATTTCATTTAATTGATAGCACTGGGATCTTTAGTCAAAGAGGTTTAAGAATTCATCTATTTTTTGGTGCCAAAGTGCACAATTTAGCTATATTCACATTTTAGCTTACCATGTTGCATGAACCCATCCTGTGTAACTATTTGTGGTCATTAACCCAAAATATTAGGTTACGAAAGGCATGGTCCCATTAATCATTGGTAACAATGTTGTGCAAATACAGCCAAATAGGCATTTCGGGTGCTTACAATCTCCTTGCACCCCAGATTTTCTCATATTTTATCTTCTATTTCAAACGTGTTAGCACCTCCTTAGGTACTTTCTCTTAAGACCAGCTCAACTTCTGGCGTCTACATGGATAGTTTCATGTTTTCTTGGGAATAATATGAAAGTAGTTTGCCTTGCTTCAAAAAAATTTTTCTTAAACTTTCCAGTCTAATGCTCTGAAAGTCCCATGTCCAAGTACTGGCCAGTTCCGAATGAGAAGCCCCCTGCGAGGCTAATTGCAATTTATTTCACAGCCTACTTTCAAACGCCATAGAGAAGAAAAGAAATTGCTTCCTAATAAGGTGGAGAAAGGTCTGGGAAAAGACAGAGCATATGCAAAAGAAAAGTTACAAGCAGAAGAAATGTTTTGTTTTGTTTTTAAAAAACTTTTAAAGATATGGTTCTGCACGTTCATCTACTGACTTCGTTTGGAATCCCAAATCTGAAGCTTCTGTTCCGTCCCTAATGCTATCCTTGAAAGGGGTGTATCAGAAATTGATCTCGCTTAAGAAATTGATCTCCAGAGAGGAGGAGACTCAACTATTCAGGTTTCGACTGCTGCTTCTTGTGGCCGCAGCTGTTCCTGCCTAGGAATAACTGCGAAGGCCGACGATGCTGCCTTTTTCCGGGTAGCGGTTCAGCAGGAGACCGAAACGTGTGATTGGCTAGTGTAAAGAAAATAGTTGCTAGGTGACCGCATCAACTT